TAAATAAAAAATAAGGTTGTTGGAACCGCAAGCGAGCATCTTCCACACACAAGTGGATATATTCGTGGCGATATTTGACGTATTATATTTGTTAAAAAATGTTTAAACTTTTACTTTGGCAATTCTTTTGAAAGGTTAGATACATAAACACATATATTGCAGTTTAAATGTTTGAAATGTATGGTATGCGTACAACAGGCAGGTAATTCAGCCACCACTACCCTCAGCCGTTCAGGGTTAGGCCTAACCAGGTCCCGACACGCGATAAAATGCCGGATTTGAAGAAACATACTAAAGTTTGAATACTATTTATACATATTTATAAGCACATGTGTTCTAGAATTATTTACTACAACAGAAGAGGTATTTATTGGTGTAGAGAAGTAAATCATGTTCAGGAATTAAAACAATATGTATTTTTAATTTAATTTACATATTTTCGTATTTCTGACCGTTTAGCAATATTATATGTTGCAAACTTCAGCATTTAAACACTTATATCTCTAATATTCATGAACCATCTAATAGCCATTGGCATGTGATATTCCAAAAGATTAGCTAAACCTGTGTCTAGAGACATTAAACATCTTTATGGATTACTTGATTATAAATATGAAATACTGCCTTAAATTATGCCCTTGTTTAGGCCTATGTGTGACCTAGCCAGTATAGGCCTGGTGGCGTGGCCACCAGGCGAACACGTTCGGCAACGATGTGTGGATCCTAGGCTATATTTCAAGCTAGGCCTACACTTCTAATTATTCTAATTATAAAAATTAGTGCTGTAAGAGAAACAAATGGAATTTGTTTTGTCTTTTTATGATATAGATTGCAGTAGGCCTACATCTCCATTCCTATTACAAATCATGTATTTTTACATTAAATTTGTCAGCACATACAACAATAATATGTTGATGATTATCTTGCACCTATACTATATAGGCCTGTAATTTGTCCATGATGTGATGTCGTCATGACCATATTTACTATTTAGGATATTTCACAATTGAATTGTCAAATAAAATTTGATAGACATTTTTTTAAAAAGGATGATTGCTGTATTTTTTGTTCAAATCTCAGTAAATGCTTGCAAATAGTAAAACATTTACGAGGCTGTTTGTTATAGTACATCTCCTAAGGTGCCTCTTTGTATGTTTGCCAAGGTTATTTTTTAATGTATTCATACTCTCACTGATAACAACTAATCTATAATTTTACATTGATATGAAAATAAAATGCTGATTGAATATACTGTAATATTAAGTATTTTTGCTTCATAATAATGTTCTTTTTCAGAATATTTTGGGCTTAAAATATGATGTTTTGTAGCTAAATATTTCTTACTTATATTATGAATGTACCTAGGCCTACCTAAAAGTTATTTTTATTGATTTTACAGGTAATGATGATGCTGATAATTATTGGTTAAAGCTTAAAGCTTGGCTCTATGATAAACTTGAATATGAAGATTATAATAATTGGTTATGTTTGATATATTAGCAATTGCGAATGAATGGTGATATGATTGAAACTATTGTAGGCCTACTTGGTAGCATTGGTTTTGAAAATATAGAGAGAATGAGGACATCACACTCATTTAGTTTTATAGGAAAAGGTTTTTTCCCACAAAGACACCATTGCAGTTGACAAAGAATTCAATCTTTTTGTTACTGTTCATAACAAGCGCTTATCAGAAAATCATCCCATATTTTGAAGAACAAAAATAATTTGCATCTGCTTGAGGTTTGAAGTTAATGATGATCTACAGTACTTAAAATTTAATTGAATTTCTTAAGTTGTTTTTACTGTATTTGTTTTTGGGTAGACAATATATCTTATATATATATAAACAAACTAAAATAATCAAATCAAAGATATAGTTTAACTATTATCTTTGATTAGTATATTTTGGTATATTTAAAAGGGACTTCAGTAGTTTGGTCTGATATAACAGACGGGTCTTTCAACCAACTACTATTCCCACTGTTTTCTGCATGTACAGTAAATGAAACCGTATCAAAATTAAAAAGATTGGTTTGTCAAACTTGTTTATACCTGATTTTTTTTATCATTCCTTAGATAAGATGCAAACCATCATTACAGGCTGCAACCAAGTGCATCAGTAATGTCACATGTAAACATATTTCACAATTCACATAAGCTGAGGCAACTAAACTGTATAATTTTCAGATGAGAGTAATAAATGCCATCATGATTCTATATTTTGATTTTCTTCATTCATCAACTCAACATTTTTATAAATTAATGTTCACACTAGTGCTTTTTTCATGTCTCTCAACTGAATTCTGAGTGAGTAGGTATGACACCATCAACTATATTACAGGGCGCAGAATTAATGCAAGTGAATTATAAAATTGGTCACTGGTATTTCAACCGCCTTCCATCCCCCCTCCCCTTCTTAAAAAAATCCCCAAAAAACATACAGCTCGAATTTTAACTATCGTTGGGCCTAAATCAATACCATATACTACTATGTACTACTGTATGCTATGTTCAGCACCATAAGTTTTGTTTTTCTTCGTTGTTTTTAGCTCTAAAATTAAACATAGTGATTGATTATTTTATAGAATGATCCATATACATATTAAACTTGTATTCATGGAAGTTGTGTTTAAGTAAAATATACGTATTTAAGAAGGTAAAAAAGGTCCAAAATGAATTTGTGTAGGGCATACAATGGAATCAGGTAGGCTAGCCCCTCATACTTGGCTGCTTAGTTAGGCCTGCTGTAGACGACAGGTTGATATTTTTCTTTTGTGATTTTTTTTCTGAGTTGGCCTACAACCTAGGACTACCTATATTTCAGCAAAGCTAACTTGGCGACCCACCTTTTGTTCCACTAATTTTTTTAATGAAAATTTTCTCTATGGAAACAGTTTAGGGTCAGTGACTATATTATCAGACAAAGAAGGAAGATCTTTATCAAAGTATGTAATTATATTTTGACCAGTTTAGAGCTTGATTTCTTTTTAATCAATCTATTTGTTTGACATTAATATTGTACTCGAGTCCTTATATTACTGTAAAAAAAAAAAATGTTACCAGCAAAGTAAAAAAGGAGCAACCAATAGCTAGAGGTGTAAAATCATAGAAGAAAAAAAAAAACATTATCAACTTAATTGCAGTGTAATGTCCAGAGACTACAAAATATTTTGGTGACTTTAATTGGGTCCAACCTACAGTTTGAACAAGGATTTTAACACTCGTGATTTGATTCGATGACTGAGTTACAAAGTGTACCGAGGCCGTGGCATGATGCCCTATAAAGCTATAATTATTATTGCCCACTTGCCTGTGTGTCGGACATCGAATAAAAGTCAAAAGCTAATGTTAATATCACAAAAATGCGAGACAAACATTTAATTAACACAAACAAGATTAGAGTATAAATATATATTATACATACTGTACAGCATACTGTATGTCTGGCTACAAAATATTTTGGTGACCCTATTTCGGGTTGTGACACATAGTTTGAATTACCAAGGCTGTAGAATAAATGAGTTATCGAGAACAAATATTAAATGATATTTATTCATTATGAAAAATCATTCTTTGATCATTTGAGAATTATTGATGAAGTTTTGTATTGGTAAAAATTAAAGTATCTCAATTGTATGGATATTGTTTCTAATTGCCCAAAAACCAACAACGTAAGCATACGTGTTGGTCAACGTGTGTTTATAGGACTAGCACATATTTTCTGCTCTTTCCTATCTACCGTATTAATCCTCAAATAAGAGCCGCGGCGCTTATAAAAATTTTTGTAAGCTTCAGTGCATCGCTTATTCGAGAGCAGGGCTTAAAAAAAAATATTGGCATGGTGCTTTCCATGCTACCTTTTTCACGTATTCCCATATCGGTAGGCTTATTGTAGGTCCTACGTTATCGTAAATACTGTAAACGTTTATAACGAAATACTTGTGTCTTTATTGTGTTATTTATTTATTTTAACACTGTATACATTGTATTTAAAACCATGTTTCTCAGAGTGTTTTATTACATACAGGGGTAATATCTTGATTAAACGCTTCAGCGCTTATTTGAGAGCAGCGCTTATTCAAGCATTTACGGTAATTAGCGAGTTCTTAAGTTTAATATGCAATTCATAAAGGTTCATTACACCATATCAGTCCAAGCAACCTTGCCAACAGTATGATAGACATGAAATTCAGTTACTATAATATTTTCTGGTCAGACATTGTTGGATCTGACCATGGTCAGATACAAATATCGCATATGTTTGCCTAGCTTCAGTCACATGATTTGCATACTCTATGAGTGTGCTATGACATCTGTGATTATGTGATATGACATCATACCCATGTGTGTAATGACACCATCATACCCATATATATTTGAGTTTTTAAAATGTTGATGTGTAATACACCATGATACCTTTTTCACGTATTCCCATACCATGTTTCTCAGAGTGTTTTATTACATACAGGGTAATATCTTGATTAAACGCTTCAGCGCTTATTTGAGAGCAGCGCTTATTCAAGCATTTACGGTAATTAGCGAGTTCTTAAGTTTAATATGCAATTCATAAAGGTTCATTACACCATATCAGTCCAAGCAACCTTGCCAACAGTATGATAGACATGAAATTCAGTTACTATAATATTTTCTGGTCAGACATTGTTGGATCTGACCATGGTCAGATACAAATATCGCATATGTTTGCCTAGCTTCAGTCACATGATTTGCATACTCTATGAGTGTGCTATGACATCTGTGATTATGTGATATGACATCATACCCATGTGTGTAATGACACCATCATACCCATATATATTTGAGTTTTTAAAATGTTGATGTGTACTTTAATTTTGTTTTAATTATTTTTTTTTTTATAACCTTTAATGATAATTATCGTTGGCCTTGCTTAACAGCCTCTATGTTTTATATTGAAACAAATAGCAAAATAATATTCATTAAATTCTGAATAAACTACAGTATATATCTTTTTTTTCCAGAATAAAAAAATACTTATTTTGATACTCTGCTATGGATTTCTGATGCTGTGTGTCTGGATGTTTTACACACAGCGATTTGTCAACTCACAGTGGAAGATTCGTTCAGATATTGGAAGCAGTAACATAACCAACCAGATACTCAAACAAATTCACCACCCTCTAGACCCAGTGAAGGACACAGAGACATTTATATACACAAACAAAACTCTCAAAATTACGAGCAACAGCACGAAAAAAGTTGTGCAACCAACTGTAAAACCAGTTCCAAAAATTTCAATTAGACAATACTACAGTTCTTTAGCTAATTCAACGGTATGTTTAATCTGTTCATTCAATTTAAATGTATTTGTCCTTAGTACAGTAACATTTGCAACATCATTCATATTCACATCATATTGCTGATGATTGTGGCTTTATGTTTGTTTTATTGGTTTTTCAACACACAACATAAAAAGTACAATGAATTCAAACTAAAATACAAAAGTAGAAGCAAAAAACAATCATATATACTGTAAATTAGATATAAAATATATAAGTGTGTGGAGGGAGACCAAAATAAGTTTATACAAACTGAACTGTGTTGTTTGTAAGTTATTTATACATTATATAAAAATTAATGATATAATTTCTGAATACTGGTTTTCTCTTCCATATGTTATAGACACTGGATTACAATTGTAGTCAGTGCGCCCTCGTCTCCAGTTCAGGACAGCTTCTTGGACGAGGCTTAGGAAGCGTAATTGATGCCAATGAGTGTGTCATCCGAATGAACAATGCACCCTCACAAGGATTTCACAAGGACGTGGGGAATCGTACAACTATTCGTCTGGGATCCTTCAATTCTGTTAAAGCATATACTCTACAACCTCATTTGTTCAGTGGAGAAGCCTCCCCTGACGTTGTAATACTTTGGGGCTTGCATCAGCCAAAACATGTTAATATTTTAAAAGCTGCTCAGGCATTACCAAAATTGTATAAAAACACACAGTTTTATGCTGAAACGCTGGCAGGAGAAGACTATGCAGGGAAGGTTTTTGAAGTAGAAACCGGCATAAAAAGGTATCATCCAGCAATTTCAGCATGATTTAGAATCTAGTTGGCCTTGCCTTGAGCAATGCAGTATTAAACAAAGTAAAACAAATTTATTTATGTCAGTTGTAATTTATAATTTTACCAGATCAGTGCCCTCAAAGCTTTTCACAAACGTTCAGCAAACTGTGGTTTCAAGGTGGCAAACACAGACATGCATATCCTTGTAGACAGTGGCAGAATCTTCAAAAAGGTGAATGCGGCAACTGAACGGAAGAAGAAGAAGCCATTCTAAAAGTGTGCAGAACACTGCTTTACACTCTGTTTGATAGGTCCACATCCGATATTTATTCATTGTATTTCATTCAGATGTTGTCATCATCACATAATAGCATTAAAAAAAATATCAAACATACTGTACCTTGTTCCGACGTAGTTTTAAACTTCAAAATGTTTTCCAATTGTCTTAAACTGTTTTCCTTGTTCAGAGCTGAAAAATGTCAGATCCATGAAAAATGAAACTGTAACACAACTAATTTTATGGTAATATCTTTTCGGACAATAATGATATTTCATAAATGTTGGAATAGCTTTATTGTCTGGTTTTTACATCCTGATTAAGTCAAGCATTGATAGAGCTTGGATTTAGTTTACCTCAATCTCATTGGTTTAAATTTATTGCGCTATTCGATATTTCATTAACATTTATTGGTTATATGTTGACAGGCTCTACTCCAAGACGTGGTTATCAACTGGCTGGTTTACAATGCTTATGGCATTGGATATTTGCGAGAAAATTAATCTCTATGGTTTCATACCAGAAGATCACTGCAAGTAAGACTTTTTTTTTTATTCCTTGATTAACCAACACGTCGGCCATCTAATAACAATGATTCACCCACTGCCATAAAAAATATGGGAAATTTTTGGACAAAATATTGTAGCACACACCACACTGGAGGTACACTGAACATAGTGACGTGACATTTTGTACTGGTGCAAACAAATCTTTATTGAATATATTGTCAATACCGCACTATGAAAACTATAAATCAAATGAATAAATCAAATGTAGATAAATGTTTCACTGCTTAAGTTACAATTAAAATCATTAAATAATACTCATTATAGAGTGTAGTGTTGACCTATTCTATATGTAGGCCTATTTGAGCTTTTAAATGTAATCAATTAACAACATTAAAATATTATATAATTGTCTAACGTTTTGGCCACTTGGCTTCAGGTAGGTTAATATCAAGGTGCATGCAGTGAATCTCCTGTTATTCACCGAATAAACAAGCTATAAAACGCATATGCTAAAACAAAAGTGCGCAAACTCGTGCAATAGAAAGACACTTGCGCAATATTAAGACACACTTGCGCAATAGTAAGACTCAAAAACAAATATGTTTATTTACCATTACTGTACTTATTTATTAATGCATTGCACATATTTATCTGGCCTATACATTAACAATTTAGAATAAAATCCAGTTCAGTGTTCAGGAGATGGGATTAATATGATTATGATTATTATAATGACAATGATAATGAGGGAATAAATATGTTGACAAAATAATATGTGGCAAAGACAAGCCAAACCAGTGTTTCATAGAAAATAGCCAAAACATGCTGGAATGTCAAATTTTAAAAAATCTATTTTATTGCACTAAACTATACTTTATATATCTATAATTCATGCTACTGTTATTTTCCCCATTTTCAATGTTAAAAAAACACTTTTTAATGATTTCATGATAGTTTCTGCATGAGAAATGCCCAAAATCATAAACTTTGCAGGCAGATTTCTCATATTGTTCTTTAAACAGCTGTACGCTTAAATGTTTGTAAATTCAGAAGGAAATGTCAGATTTGAATGATTTTCTGACCATTTTATAGCTCTTATTTTACTCTTTAAACCTGTATAAATAACTCAAAATCGATTTTTGCGACGAGTGACTGGTTTGGCTTGTCTTTGCGACATTATGACATTAATTGCAATAGTATTAGGTTTTTGATTTTCATAGTTTTCAGCACTTGATGGATGTACAGTTGAACTTACCATAGTCGAATCCAAAATGCCATTGAAATATTGTTCGACTTACAGATTCTTAAATAATGGAAAACACAACAATTTTGCATGTAAAATTAGATCGACTTAGGCAAATTTAACTGTATACTGTATTTGATTGTTTGTAATCTGAATAAAATGTCATTTAAATTAATTCCTACCACAGTATTTTGTGTGACAGCGTTATAAATATATAACCTTCAATTTTCCATTCTTTATTAAGAACACATCCTGGAGAGATCAAGCGTTACCATTACTACCAGAGTCCCAACTCCTCATTGGTTGAATGCAAATACTATACATCGAATGAAGGACGCACAGGCTCTGGACACCGCTTTGTCACGGAGAAAGCCATATTCTCCCGCTGGGCCCAGCGTTACAATATGACGTTTCATGCTCCTTCCTGGAACATCACAAAGTCAGAATTTGAGAAGATTGATACTCCGTTTGTAAAGAATCAGAGTAAAGCCAAGAAAATGCATGTGATTCGGAAGAGAATTCCACCAAAGCGGCGCCACCTATAGTTTTTAAAACTGACTGCAAACATCTGGCCACCAGAAATGTGCTAATTATTATGAAACACTATTTACCTCTGTCCAGACTATCAAAGTCTGACATGCCTAAATATGGTAATGATGACATCACATCATGACCATATATAGGCACATCATGTAAACATTTTTTTACAAATAGACTACCATTTTATTTTAAATTATTTTTTTTTTGCTGAATAAAATACAGTATTACAATACATTGATATGGTAAAATTTCGAATTGAAGCCATGGGCTTCGGTTTTTTGCAAACTTGGGATGGGCTTCAATTCTAGAGGGGCTTCTTTTCGAGGCTACTTTCGCTAATAAAAGAGGTGGCTTTTTTTTCAAAATGAATGCTGTAAATTTTGGGAATTAATACTATAAAACAATAAATAGGGCCACTGTAACATCACCCTGTGTTATGGAGTGTATTAGCTGGAATTAATTCACCTAAATTACTGTACTATACAAACCAAGCATGTTTTAATTTTATTTCTTTGAAATTTATGTACAGTGTACCGTACTATCTCGAAAAGAAGCCTATGCTATCTTGAAAAGAAGCTCATAGGCTTCTTGAAAAGAAGCTCATAGGCTTCTTTTCGAGGCTAATTTTGCAACCCAAAAAAGGGGGGGGGGGCCTTCAAATCGAGATGGGCTTCTTCTCAAAATTAAGGTTTTACGGTATTGCTTTAATAGTATTTATTTAATTATTCTTTCTTTAGACTGCAAGCACTTTCAGCATTTGTGTACTGGTTTTCAAAGTGGTACAGTCACAAACAAACCACCAAAAACAGAAAGAAAATGGTCAAAGTAAAAAAAAAATATTCAATATAAAACTTCTAAATTTATAGAATTTTGGAGAGCCTAACATCATTTCTTTAAAGTTGATTTTTGTTCGTTTAGAAGTTCAACCCAACTTTTCAATGCACAATATTAAAAGTTCTTTTAACTTATATTCCAAAAAAGGTAATTAAATCATTATGAGTTTGGCTATGTGTGCATTTTGAATGGATATTTTGATTAAAAATAGATTGTGATTATAAATAAATGGACAAGCACGCCCTTTTAAAAATTTAAAAGTCAAAAGAATTAATTGTTCATTCCATCTTACATTGACTCTTCTCTAGTCAAGGAAAATTAAAATATAAATCGTTAGTTGTTACTTAAAAGTATGTACATATTTGGATTTGCAGAAGAATTGTAAAGTTTGATTTAATTGGGGAGGATTTTGTCTCATTTTTGTCCAGTTTTTTATTCCATCTGTCCACCAACATATTTTTGATTACCATTGTGATTTGATCAACTACTGTATTTTCTGTTCCATATCAAATTGGAGTACGTATCAGTATTTTGCTTAAGATCAGAAAAAGCTTTGGACTGTAAAAGAATTAAATCCAAACAATTTCCATTCTGACAATGGAGAGAGGGTTTTGGACACCCTGTAGTAAGCAGATGGTAGATAGATGAAAATTTTCTCATGTAGAAAGAAAAGTATTTCTTTAAAAATTGGACTCTAAGCATAATATAATAAATACATTATTTATTATTATAAAATATTTTTATATCAGACAAAGGGGTGCAATATAAAATATGTTCAAATATAATTGTTGTTGATGTAAGTTTTACTGACAACAACCTATTACAGGAGGCTTTTATCTTAAAAAGCATTCTAACTCATACTATCAGTAGGAGACCAGAGGTGGCAAAAAGCAGCACACACACACACACACACAGAAAGGCTGGTGAAGCTTACGCCGGCGTAATCTAATCCACGGATTGAAATTCACACAAACGACGTTTGCTATATTAACGTTGGCGTTAAACTAGTAATAGTAATATATGCCTATGGGGAATGGTTTTCAGTTTTAAATAATGTATGTATGCTTAGCTATAAAAAAAAATTATAGAATAGTTTTCATAGTAAAACATCTACAGTGCATCAGTAAAACTTTCAAATCTGTGAATAGTTGGAAGTGAATTATATGGTTACTGTATTTTAAATGAACAATTTTACTTCTGATATTTTAGCTAACATTGTGAATCAATTGTTGGTTTTTATAGACAGTCTAAATAGGTATAAAATATCTTACAAGTAAGTATAAAATATCTTACAAAACACAACCAACACATCGTATATATTGTAAACTAAGTAAAATGTTAGACAAATATTTTTTAAAAACCCTTTATCATTTCAATTATAGAGAGCACAGGAAAATAACTAAACTATTGCAAAACTAATCGTGATTTGGTCAGTCACTTGAAATGAGGTCAAAATCATTCTAGCATTACTGGCGTCAACTAGTCTGGAATCTGCAGATAGCGTTAATAATGTGGCGTTGTGGGTGGCGTTAGCACGCCACTGCCTAGTTCACACTCAAGGGCGTACATTACGCCAGCCTTACGCCATGTGTGTGTGTGTGTGAACATGCCCTTAGTTCCTCAATTGCCACTCATGCCACCCTAGCATAAAAATGTGGATCTACCACTGGCCCTTCAGACTTAAACAATGGCTTAGCCAGTGAACTGTCTTTTGGACGGCCAACAATTATTTAGGACGGCTACTTTTACTGTGACGGCTTGGCCTCAGCCTAGCCTAGTTTGGCCTGGTCTGCCTTTAGCAAATTCTTTATATTCTTCAAATCTATCAAATGTTGCATTAAACTAAAAGTATATTTTAAACGGCCTGTTTCATTTTTCTGGCTAAACCCCTAGGCTTACAATACAGTAAAAATGTTAGAGGGTTAGCTTTTCCAGCAGCGTAAATGCACGGAGAAATTAATGATGAAGATTTAGTATTTGTAAATTTGTGCTGATTTGTTGAGAATATAATTCTCTAACTTGCTGTTGTACAAGCATGTAAGTACTTGTTTTTAAGGGTTGCTTCTGTTGGATAAGGATTATTACTTTTCGTATGTGGAAGTTACCACATTTTTTTCTTCTAATCATATTGAAATTGTATGAATTTAGAAGGATATTAGGTCCTGGTAATTTAATTAAGGATTATTGATAAATGTCTCCTTCAGTAGTTGCATCTTGTGAGGAAGGTAACATTGTTTTCTTATGTTACTCTATGTAATTGATCCCATCTATATGCATGGGGTCTATAATTGGGTAATTTTTAGGGTTATCAAATGACAGAAATATGATGATGCTTAGTATTACTACAGTATGTCAAAGCCTGTCTGACTTGTTACATTATTAAGGGGGACAGAATATGTAATCATTTTTACAATATTGTAAGTTTGTAATGTTGCAATATGTTGAATTGCTCAAGTGGGTGGGAGCCACTGGGCATATGCATCTGGACCCCTGTCTGCCAACATTTAAAAAAATTTCAATGTGTTATTAGTGTTCATTCCAAAATGTATGTATGAAAAAAATTATCTTTGATTAACAGACGTATAAATGATTGGCTGGTAATTAATTTGTAGATGATTTTACAACAATATCAGTAAATAAGCATTTTTTTATATTCTGAATGATTATGGTGAATTGTAATTAACCTTATGATGAAAAAGACCATTTTCTCTTATTTTTTTGTACACATAATTTTTAAGTTTAACAAAAGTTTTGTACAATGATTTATTAATGGACAAATTTATGTAGTAATTTGATATATTTTGTAGTGCGGGCACTTCGAGGTCCTTAATTGAGTTTGTTACTTTGTAAACCTTGTTTGGACCTCTCAAAGATACATAAAATATCCTCACAAATTTATAAAGGCCAAGTAAAATTAATTGTTGGTGGTCACATCCACGATTGGAAATATTTTTTTGAAGAGGGTATTTACTATCTGCTATTTACTATCTTATTACTAGTGGTAAACCTGTCTAGTAGTTAGGATATATGATTTTTAATTTTCAGGCTTTCATTTTTTTTCTCAAGGAATGTAAAGTAATTCATTTAAACTTACATATACTGTACTTAAGATGAATTTATCATAGATACTTACACAGTTTATTTAGAATTGTAATTGTTTTCATGTTTGTGTTAAAAACAGTTTAAGCCAAAAAAAACCATGAAAAATTCCAAAATATTCTATAGTGAAAACAAAAACCGAAAACAGTTCATTAGTTTAAAAGTATTGTTTATTTTCTACATAAATTATAATAAATGTGACAAATGCCTAAAAAATTGAAATACTGAATGCCTTGGTTCATTTCGTGTTTTTTTTTTTCCTATTCAAATCTCTTGTTTAATGAGGATAACCAAGATCAGTGATATCACTACTTAGAGCCTACCCAATCATCAATTACAAGTAATGACAATTAAAATACAAAATTTCATGTTCACCAGGGGAAGATCCAGTGGGTGGGGGGGGGAACGTTCCCTCCCTTTCACCACTAAATTTTAAGGCATATATTGAAATTAGCGCTCTCACTTATCTATTCTGAATATGTTGTGTACCCACCCCCTCCCCCCGTTTGAAAAATTTTGGATCCGCTCCTGTTTACTTCTCAAATTGTTTAACGTATTATGCAAAATAGTTCTTCATGTATTACAATTATTTACTAATTGTTCTTTGTATAGCATGTTTCCTTGCAGTTCGAAGTGCTGTTAACCACACTTCTCCATAAATTCATCCCCCTCCCCCCAAGCAAAGCTTGCATACTAACCATACCCAAACTAAGCATGCATAACTTATAATTTATATAATGCAATGAAAGTTTTTATGGCACAATATTAGGGATTGCCAATCAAAATAACCTTATTTGGATAGGCAAATTATTTTTTTAAATTCCGTGCGACAGGGGAACCATCCCACTGGCGCCACCACTGGCTGTGATATGCAGGTAATCCAGGCAATAATGGGTTCGATAGATAGAACAAAACATTGCTAATATACTGTACCATTTCATTTGATTTTCTATTGATTTTTCCTATGTTCCTACTCCCCTAGACACCCCTCCTCTCACGGGCCTCGCGAGGGTCTAAGGCCCCATAAAAAATTTAAAAAATTATTAGTTTATCACCCTACCAAAGAGGTTTTTTTTTTTTTGGTTTTTTTTTTTTTTTTGCTAACCCCACCCACATTTTACTGATGTTCACAAGTAAATCAATGGTTAGGGATACATATATATGAAAAGTCATTATAAGAGTGGAATCAAATTTATATTTAAAAAAAATGTTTTTGTTGTACCAGTAAACATATTTGCAAGTGAAAAAAGATGGAAAAAGGACCGTTTGAAATAAAAATATAAACCAATCAAAATAACCTTATTTGGATCGGCAAATTATTTTTCTTAATTCCGTGCGACAGGGGAATCATCCCGCTGGCGCCACCACTGGCTGTGATATGCAGGTAATCCAGGCAATAATGGGTTCGATAGATAGAACAAAACATTGCTAATATACTGTACCATTTCATTTGATTTTCTATTGATTTTTCCTATGTTCCTACTCCCCTAGACACCCCTCCTCTCACGGGCCTCGCGAGGGTCTAAGGCCCCATAAAAAATTTAAAAAATTATTAGTTTATCACCCTACCAAAGAGGTTTTTTTTTTTGTTTTTTTTTGTTTTTTTTTGCTAACCCCACCCACATTTTACTGATGTTCACAAGTAAATCAATGGTTAGGGATACATATATGAAAAGTCATAAGAGTGGAATCAAATTTATATTTAAAAAAAAATGTTTTTGTTGTACCAGTAAACATATTTGCAAGTGAAAAAAGATGGAAAAAGGACCGTTGGAAATAAAAATATAAATTGATTGAAAAAAAAAAATCAAAAAAAAAAAAATCATGATTTTCCCCAAAAGTGATGAGGGAGCGGGTAATAAAAATAATTTATTGTCTATTTCTATGTTGGGAATTGTAAAGCTCTAAACCTGTAGGCCTACTAGTCAAAATCCATTTTGCCGAAACCTGGTTTACCACGTTTAAATTATATGGCTTTGCCGAATCCAGTTCCCAGAAAACATGAAATCTTACTAGTTTGCCGAATTTGTCGTCACATTCGTACAAAAGCGCAGCACCCAATGTGATTTCATAAGTCAAAAAATGCCTGAAATTGTTGAATTGAGCCTCATAGATGACCCAGGTTTTAACGATGCCCTGTACAGCCAGAATACATCTTCTTATAGGATACCGGTATCTCCGTCATTAATATCAAACGTCGCGTGCCTTCATTATAAGTTGAGAAGTATGAAGGAAAAAAAAGCGTGTAGGATAAGATTGGTTTTCGGCACATGGAGTATGTAAATACTGTACATCAAAGACGATTAAGTTATATTTTTTATGGTGCATCACAGGGATTAATTAGATCTCTATGGTTGCAGAGAATCCGTCTCTAATATAAGATCATGAGAAATTTGTTGGCACTTCATTTTGACTATAATGATGAATTTAGTATAAGAGTGTCAGCTAGAGGTACCGGTATTTTCCCAAATTTTCGCGCCTCAGCCTCAACCTTGGTGGGGCTGAGATGGGTGTGGACTCACGACTTTAAGCAGGTAAAGTAAAGTAAACACATCAAAGACAATTTTTTGAAGTTTATTATTTTCAATGGTGTACATCACACATATTATTTAGATGACGGCCGAAAATCGCTATAAAAGATCATGAGAAATTTGTTGGCACTTAATTTGATTTAGTGGTGCCGTGATTTGTGAATTGGAGTAGTAAAGTAGGCCTAAAGTAAACACATCAAAGACAATGTTGCAAAGTTAATTTACTATGGTACATCACATATTAATATTATCTCTATGGGTGCCGAAAATCGCTGACAAAAGAGCATGAGAAATTTTATAGGGTGTTTTGTGATGATGAATTTTACTATATATAAGAGTGTCATTTTTCCAGTCATCTTGAGAGTACTCTTTACTCAAAATTTCGCAACTCAGCCCCAACCATGGTGGGGCTCAGATGGGCGTGGTCTCACGGAATATATACCGGTATATAATAACATAGTACAGTTACTAATAATAATAATAAACATAGTACAGTTACTAATAATAATAATAGTCCAGAGAGGGCGTAATACTGTACTAATCTATGTCACATGGTTAGTTTTTAGAGAGCCTGGTTAATCACAACAATGCAACAATGTCGTATTAATGCCAGTGGTTGGAATGTCAGCAAAGCGAGCTGTAACATCATTTTACAGTGAAAAATGGACTGGACGTAGAATCTGAAAGATGTCGAAAAAGCGTGTGCAACTTAAGGATCGTATACTCGATAACGTTGCGAAAGCAATCAAAGAGGTATTTTAAAATTGTTGTGTTTTTACATTTGGCTTGACACGTACGTAGGCCTAGGCCTACATACACAGCACAGTACGTGGTGTGCTGTACGCTCACTGGCACCGGGACTACTACTACTACTGGGCAGGCTATGGCCTCCCTAGGCCTAGCCTAGGTAGGGCTACTGGCGTAAAATACACAAGTGGTTCCAACATGGAGTTGTATAGCTTGGTGGTTAAGATGCTTGCCTTCCAATCCCAGGGTCCTGGGTTCAATTCCTATCAGTGTTGCACGACCAAAACAACTCCACTCCCTAAATCTTATTTATAATTATATTAAGAAGATTTAGTTTGTGTATAAAGCATCGTGTGTGTATGTTTGTCTTGTGTAAGGGATTGTCACCTACAAGTAGGACAGTGATATATTCGCTATTGACAATCCTTGGCACATGTATTTTGTGCCTAAATAAATAAATAAATAAAAAATATGCCGTATTTTGGAGCATATTTTTCGCTTCCAGGCTCTAGTGCCTCCTAGAATCAATCATTTATGAGACCACTTAAAATTTTATTGGCTTTCGTAATATCTAAAAATGAGTTTGATTGGACAGAAGTTCTGATCGGCACGGTTCAATCACGATAGAAGCTTTGGGAGTCCTATAGTTTACACAGGACTCAAGCCATGTTGTTTCACGAGTGTTCTGTCCGACGTATCTACAGTACCATATACTTTCGTGTCCTTTTTTCCAGATTTTGCATATACTGTATATAAAAATATCTGATCATTTCCGAAACTCTTACTGAACCCAACACTAGACAGATAAAATAGAAAGTTCAATTAAAATGTGACGCTCATTAAAAAATAGGGGAAGAGAATTTGTCATGGCCAAATAAAAAAAATTGCTAGTTTCTCGTACCCTCACTAATCCATTTTCTCTACCTCACCAATTTTTTTTTTTTCCTTTTTTTTAAAAAATTTTGAAAATCTGGCTAACTCGCATTAGTAAGATTCCTCTCTTGATCGTTCGTGGTTGGGGATACATAATATGGTATGAATCATGTCTAGTTTTTTATTCTTTCAATGAGACTAGGCTTACACAATCAAAACTGATTGTTTAACATGCTTACGATAATAACATGCACTATTTGATCACCGTTTATAATGTTGTTCACACACTACTACCAGCATACATTTGAGGGTAGCAGATGCATTGAAAATTATGAATATTCATGAAGCTCTGAACATAATGTTACAGTATCTTATTAGCCTATTTGTACAAATTATGAACCTGCATAAATATGTTGCACCTTAGGAATTTCTTTCACTAATTTTTAACCTGAATAAATTATATTATAATGCATTTTTTGTTTTGTAGTGATAAAATCCAAATTAATATGAATATATTATCCAGGTGAAAGATAAATCATTAATTCATAATCTAGCTGTAAATTCTATTATATAATATTTTTGATACATTAAATACAGGTGCAACGATCTTACTTTAGCCAAGACACGGATGATGTCACTCCTATTACGGATGAAGACAGACCGTTCCAGAGACTTGTGGAGCATATTGACCATGCATTCCTACATGGGTGAGTTGGAAAACGGGGAAAGAAAAGAAATTTTCCACAATAAAATTCACCCAAAAGAAATGCACTAAACAATGGACCAAACCATTTTTATAATTCAGGGGAATGTTCTCAGGCACTGGGAGGTGCTATCACACTTCCTAGTTAATTTTAATGTATTCCTGGTATTATTCTTATTAGTATTATTATGATTTGATATCATTTTCTCTATTGCATCATTTTTTCACATATATGTATTTGATTTAAAAAGGTGTAAACCATTGTTCATGTATTATTTTTGTGAAATATTAGATTACCACTCATTAATTTATTCATTTTTGCACGAATGTCCCAACAACTGCGTCAGCAACGTTGCACTACAGGTATGACACTACAAGTGGTGCCCGCAGCCCTGGAACATACAACAAATTACATTTAAACTGTATTAAAAGACCTAGGGGAAGCCCACCAAAAAGATGTACTGACAACATTAAATCCATAGGACACTCTCTTGGTATTATTAACATTGAAACACTACATAGGAAAGCTCTAGATAGACCCGGGTGAAAAAACATGAAAAGGCTGTCATTTCCAAGACCAATGCTAAGAGGACAACATTAATTCGTAAAAAAAAAAAAATCTAAATTATCAAAAAAACAAACATGCAGTATCAATTTAATTTTGAATGAATGAACATTTTAAAATGCAACCACAGTGGGAATATTTTAATATTTGATGATACTGATAATACTGATAATAACTATCTAAATAGTAGAAAATATTTTTTTTTACAAGTTTTTAAAAGACTACATAATTGGTCATAAATGCTGTTGGATTAATTAAAATTTGAAAAATAAATAATTAAAAAACATTTTTCTGTCACTGAGTGAGTGGAAATCTCAGATTAAAAACATGCAAGTGCTTTTTTATGATAATAGGTTGCGTGTCATCACAGCAGGGTACTGGGGAGTGGTGCAGAAGTTCACGCACAAGGATATCATTTCCGACATAATGGCTCTCAATCGCCTGGCAACGGATTTTGGACGAGGTATGGAGTACACTACTTCAGAAAATATTATAATAACTTGGTTGATAGGAGAACTTCTAACAGGGAATTGGGATTACCATAGTTTATGGATGCATATGTATGGTGTTATGTATATTTTGTTTAAACACCCTATATTTTCACTAATTTAAGTAGTAAAAACGGGAAACTTAAAAGCCTTGTGTATTACTCTATTAATAAGCAGCTTTCGATTTAAACGACGCAGCGTTCTACAACGGGCAGTGGAGTGTGAAACCGTACTGTGCATGCGAATACATGGGGAAGTCGTTCGTTGTGTGGATTTGACAACGGGCTTCAAGCGATTTGCGTTGTGTTAACTACGGCAACGCGAGTTTTATAAATACATGCTCGCTGGGGCCGCCTGCATAATTGATCACGTGATACGAGGGAGCGTGTCGTCCTGTAAATCGAAACTTTGATGTTCAGACGGGAAGTGCATAGTACGACGTTCATGATTGACTGAATTCCCCTTCGCAGCTCACTGCATCGCCCATTTCGAAAGCTCGCTACTATGAATATCGAGAAGGCACGTTGAAAGGTAGACTAGGTTCAACTCCCTAAATTTTGTCTTAATCTGTGAAAACTATTAAAAATAAATTGATTTTTGCACCAATGGCCTTCCATATTATTTCTTGGCACCAATGGTGTTCCATGCTATACTTTTCCTGGGTTTAGGTTTCTGGGTTTCTAATTCCCATCCAAATTTAACATCATAACAAGTTTCCGACATAAACAAACTCTGGTGCCGCTCTCCGAAATGATCTAACGCTCTAGGAAAAAATCAATAAATTTGAGACTTGTGGCAGGTCTACGCTGTATTTAAAAAAGTGGCTACAATAAAGTTTTCTCATATCTCACAGGTCGTGCTTGGCTTTACCTTTCTTTGAAAGAGACATCGTTGGAGAGCTATATTAGATGTATCCTTGACAACCCTAAGCTGGTACAATCATACTACCTTGAGTAAGTACTTTCACATGCAAGCTCCCTCCTCCCTCCCCCTTTTGTGGGTTGGTCATTCTATTGAAATGTGTTATTCTTAGATTCTGTGCTGGTTGTGTTGAACCACATTTTTAAGGCAGATTAAAATTGAAAGAGCGCAGTATACCCAGCATTATAGACGCCTACTCATAACAAGTTTTATTGGTTTCCTTTCCCTCTTTGTCTTGGGTGAAATTATATTCAAGAAGAAAATATTACTGGTACTGTGGATGAGAATAACAATTATTGTTGAGTAGTGTGTTCATTTTAAACAAAGCTCTTGACCAAAATCTTGAAAATTCAGAATCAATGTTCTCTTTTCTTTTTTGTAAAAATATTTTTATTTGCAAAAGAGGAGCCCAAAATATATGTGTCTTTCAAGTTTTCATTTCAAGTTTCATTAATGAATTAATACAACAAATTTTATCAACCAAAATGCATGGGTTGAGTGATAATTGACATGAACCTTGAAAAAATAGGCCTAGGTCATATAATAAAATGGGGGAAATTGCAGACCTTGATTTTCAAAGTCACTGTGATTGGGAAAAACATATACTTTTTTTGCCTTTTTAGTCATGATCCCATTTTTTGCTCAGGACTTTTGGAAATATATATAATAAAAACAAGATATACTAACCCTCATTTAAAACAACCTTTCCTTTTTCTCGGATTTTTTTCTAATCCTTTTCTACCTACAAAAGCTTCCTTAAGTTTGTCTATTTTTTAATGGTTCTTAATGACCTTCAGAAAGTATTTGTTGTTTTTAAATTGTCTTTGTTCTAAATCGTCTTTGAATTTGAGGCTTGGGGCAATGTCCTTGCTTCTCTCTTTACTACAACTGTAAATGGTATACCATCTGTGTTTTGCTAAAAGAAGGTTTATATTTGAATTACTTTACTATATTATTAGCTTTCAATTGGAAAATAGAATGAGAATAAAATTGCTTTTTTACTTTAATCCTCTTTCATTTATAAAAAATTCAACCAAACAGAATTGTGCCTAAGTGGAAGGCAGTGGGAAAATATCTTTTGGTGCAATTTCTTAATATTTATTACAATTTTGCTGTGTGAATTAAGTCTGATATAAGCTTTGTTGAAAATCGTTTTAATATAAAGCATTAATTAGTTAATTATTTGATGCTTGCCATGCCAAAACCAGCCACATCAGTGACCAACAAGTGAAAATTGACTTTCTAAAATATTCTTATTCTGTACATTATACGCTTTACTCAGTTTAACTATTAGCGACAGTACGCTGGTTTTGGGATGGTATGCCTCATTTAAATAGAATGTTTTTTTCTTTATAAATTAAACAGGGATGCCATTCTGCGAGACCAACAACGACTGATCCTTTTGCAAACATTGGTGTCAGGATTGGATTTTGTTCAGTTTGACCCTGAATTGGTAAGTAGAGATGTTAGTTCTGCATTCACAATTTTCGCACCCCGCACCCTCAGGTTAAAACTAGCCTATGCCCCAGAATATCATGAATCTTTACATGGTAAATTGAATACCCCATTTAAAATCCCATGTTTTGGCATCACTTATAGTACACTCTACTTTTTCCAGATGTTTTTATTAATTATCAATGTATGCAAAATATACAATAAATATAGGCAATTAAACAAAAGCAAAATTAAGCAGACACTGTAGGATGTCACCAAAAGGAGGGAAAAAATGCACTAAAAACTAAATGATGATGATGACGACAATGATAAAGATGATGATATGATAAAAAAAGATGAGGGTAATGTGACAGTAAAGACAAAGACGATGATGAGGTTGAAGACAAAAGTGGAAGAGGTTGTGGCACTGACAGACAGTGATGATTATGAGAAATATGAAATATTTTAGGTCTAAAGATGTTGCAACATAAGAGGTAAATTTAAATTTTTTGTTTTGTTTTCCAGAATAATGCTTACTTAGATTTAGTAAGCCACATGCCAAGGTCAGCAACTAAATTTGAAGAACAAAATGAAGAAAATTATTTCAACTATGACAGTATATCAGTTGGCAGCAGTGAATCCGCTTCCCTAACTAACACCGATATGACAGACAATGTTGAGAAAGAGAATTTAACCAGTGACGTGAAAGGTATTGAATGTAGCGGAGAAACTGTTGTTAATGAAAGTTTGGAGACGCACAGTACAAAAGAGGATGACACCTCTACAACAAGTAGTCAAGAAATTCTCAGATCATTTTCAAGGGATGAGAATGATGGAGCTACTAACAAAGAAAAAACAAATGAAAGTATTTTTAAAGTGCATGAGAATCCACTAGAAAAAGTGAGAGGAAGTTTATCTGTTGAAAAACCAAAAGAAAGTCTAAGTGTCTTACTTGGAAAAGTTGATTCTAGTCTTGAAAGGCCAGACTTGACAATAGAAAGTGAACTAAGAACACCTGAACAGGAGTCAATTGGTGACCTTAATGATAGCCTTGAAGTAATTCATATTTTTGAAAAAAAGAGTAAAAAAGCAAAACGTAAGAAAAGGAAAACATCAAAAACAATACCACCAATAATAAACAAAGAAAAACATGAGTCGGTGAGTTTGAATTCTGAAGAGGGCACTGTTAGTATAACAAGTGAAGATAGCTGGTCCAGTAGCCACGGAACTCCTAGATCTTACAATGATAATCAGAGCTTCTCTTCAATTGGAGAGTCTATACGTTCTGAAGATCTTTTGAATAGCTCTCCACTTCCTCAGAGTGAAAATCCTTCCCCAAATATTTTTAAAGACTTGACGAAGAATGAAAATACTTTAGTTGGACACTTAGTTTCACCTTATGTAATTATGGTGCAGGAAGACTCAATAATAAAGTCACCAAGTACAAATTTACAAAATAGTAGTACTAGAGAAAATTACAATATTATTTATGAACCAGATTTAGAAAAGGTGCTTACCAGAAATTTAAGCAAAGATTCTATTATTAAAACATATGAAAAGATTACTTCAGATGAGACTATTCATGTACAAAAGAATAAGTCATTTGAAATTGATTTTGAACACCAGTTGGGAGAAGGTTTGAGCCAAAATGAAATTGCAGATGCCAATGGAAGTAATCTAGCAATTGTTGTCAATGATGTTGAAATTGATAGTGACTACTGTCAAGAACAAAGATCAAAACCAGATGGTGCAGATACATCATTTGAGGAAGTGGTTGAAACTTCATTACTGCAGGATGTAGATAAAAGTCTTCATGATGGCAGTTATGAGAGTCTGTTCACAAGTTCAGTTTCTCAGAAAATTGATGAGGCAGACAAACCTTCATTAAAGTCATCTGAGAGTGCAGCATCACTCTGCCCAGAAGGAAGCTCTATGTCACAGAGCCTCTCTGATAAAGAGTCACTGCAAGACTCCATGTCCAGAACAAGCATTGATAATGGATCGAGTATAGTAGAACCTTGTGATGAAAACAGTGAGTGTGAAAGAACTGCATCCACTCATGATACCTCAATAGCTTCAAATCCAGTTAGCATGCAGCCAGAACCAGATATTGAAATGAAGTATGTGGATTTCAATAATATTTTTGTTTCGGAAATTATTTAATATATTTTATTTTATGTGTACAATATCCAGTGATGGTGTTTTCCCAAAAAGGAGAGAATAGAATATTAATGATTTTCAGTGTGAAAATGATATTTTGTTCAGAGGAATCAGATAACTTTAAATTCTTTCTTCCACAGACTTGATAACAACTGTAAGTTGTTCCTGATGCTTGAAGTATTTAAGAACCAGAGTGAAGAATTTAGGAAGGTGAGTTCCTCAAGTCAGATGAAATTAAAGAGAGTTATGAGGTCTTCATTTTCTATCTAAACTGTTTAAAAGCTTGCAAGTGTTTTCAATTAATAATAATCAATAATAATAATTATCATGTTTTGTGAGATTTACTATCAGAATCGTCATTAGATTAATTATTTACTAATTACATTCCTGTTGATGGATTATTAATATTTGTTCATCACACATCAACATTTGCGTAGTCATGCTTGATTGAGCATGCTATCTCAGCTCCGTGTATCAAAAGAATGAATTTAATTATTGGTTTTCTTAGATGTTTCATCTAAACACCGGGCATGGGGAAGGTGATTTGCAACCGGTCTTTGTACTTTTGACTGATCAAGCTTTGTACTTATTAAGGAAAGGTAAAATGCGTAGTTATATTAATTTATATTATATAATTAACCACTGTAAGTTATTAAAAAGTCAACAGTGTGTTAAGCTCAAAGTAGAGGATCTTAAACTGATACAGTAAATTTTAGATTTGACCTAAAACATATTACAATACATCATACATTGCAATATTTTTATAACACTGTTTCATGATAATATTTTTTATTATCATTTAAAATAAACTGTAGACACAATATACTTCTGACAAAAGGAAATCAGGAAATGAGAAAAGAAATTATGCAATAAAGTAGTAGTAGAGTATACTAGTAAAAGTGCATTTGTTTTCACTACTAATAAATTGTGTTTATTTTACATACACTGTTCTTGAAATTTTCTAGGTGATACTGATTTGAGCTATACCACGGAAGTGAGAGTTCCATACAATGATTTGGATTACATTTCAGTAAGTTTTTTTTTTTAATTGTTAAAATAAGAAATAAAATATAAAGCAATGAAAAAGTTTTCTTCTCATGTTCTTATTTCTAACTTGTTTTGTAAATTTATTTACTGACTGCTGATATAAAACAATCTTACTTTGCTGATATAAAACAATCTTACTTATGTCATCATTCCTGATGATGACATAATTAATGTCGAAATATTGAATCCCAACACTTACTTTGTTTGTTATGGTTTTTTATATATAGGTGAGTTTAAATTACCAAATTATTCACATTGTTTGTGTAAACAGAAGAAAACAGTATTGGTTATCAAATGGCGCTGAATCAAGCACAAGGTGAGTGCAGTATGCTTGAATTTGCACAAGAATGCGACGTAGCTGTAAATCTTTAGGCTTGCATTCCAAAAAAGCAAGGGTTACTTTTTGTGTAACAAGAACTCTAGGTGCTTTAATTCTCTGGTTGTACAGAATCTGTCAAACCAGCGTGCAACCTTATCTGTTTCCTGGGAGTATTCCAAGTTCTACATTATACATTGTACAAGTTATACATTATACATCTAAAATCAGCACTACCAATTTCATGCCAAATCATTCACTTCATACCAGGTACCCGATTATAATCGTGGTTGAAGAGAGATAAATTGTTTTGCCCAAAGGCACTAGCAGTGTGACCAGCATCGATCTCAAACCCAAGACAATGGGATTTCCAAAGCCTTAACTTCTGTGACACAAATGGTTTGAGCCTGAGAATGAGCACTTGCTAAGTGGCCAAAATATTGACCTTCCAATCCCAGCATTGGAAAGTCAGTGCTTTATGTTTACAAGTACTGTAAATACATTTCCTCTCACTATAAACCACATACTCTGATCAGGAGAATTCTCCATTGCATGGGTTGTATTGTTATCACATAATGTGTGCATTTACTGTACATAGAGATACCCACCAACACAGTAAACCATTATGCTCCCATATTTTCATCTGTAGACTCCTTTTTGCAGGTATTTTTTGGATGAGCTAAAGCAGGTAATGAAGGGAGGCAGCAGGACAAAAGGTCTACCAAGCATACTTACAGATGCCACGACACAGAAGATCACGCTGCGCAAGTTTGTTGCTGAGCAGTGTAGATGTGAGGTAATTAAGGTCTGCTTGTCAATCAGTGGCAGATCCAGAGGGTGGCAGAAGCGATGCTTACTCTCCCAGCAACAGACAGAAAATCTCTTAGTTTGAAGTTATTTAGATAAGAGATTGAAATGGCTAGAATATGCTATGCCACTTGAACCTCCACAGTACGTAGAGGAGAACTGCAAATTTTCATCTAAGACCACAGGACATGCCCTTATTGGACTGTATGTTCTTGATTTGCAACATCCACTTGCACCCATTTTAAAGCCATTGTTCTCGTAAAATTTAGATAAGCCTTACAAGCTCTGTGGTAAAACGGAATCGTTGATGACGATCCTGCAAATAGAACCCCTTTGAAAATTATTAATTTTTAACATTTTAACAGATGGCAGATGTCCAAATTCTCCTGTACTCGTTGATTCACTGGGAAGACCTAACTGACTCTCTTGCTGCACCTGACCTCCAGCTCTACAGGTCACCTGTGATTAAGGAGGGCAAGTTGGACTACAAGACCCCTGGTTCTGCTCTATTCTACGCCTACTGGAAGCCCTGCTATTGTCTTCTGAAACACGACACCTTCCATAAGTTTGCTCAGAAGGACGACTTGGAGCCGGAGTTATCGGTACAATTAAGGTGAGCACCTCAACACTACATTTTTAAACACTTCAAATTTTTGCCATGGATATTCAAAACAATCATTATAGGTTATATAAAAGTATCACAGTAACTTATTGATTCTGTAGGTCAAACCGTTTCGGAGGATGTAGGCGAATACGTAATGGAGACAGGCCACATGGTTTTGAACTAATTCTAGATGATGGGTCTTCATTGCAAGTTGCCTGTGAAAACGAAACTGAGGTTTCTGATTGGCTGCAAGCAATCTGTACCATAGTTGCTGAAACTATGACTGCTAAGATAGACGGTCGAAGCCCTATCCTGTGCCATCCTTGTTGCCTAGTCGTGTCTGAATCCAAGTTGTTTCTCTGCCACGAAGAATCTCAGACACAATTCTACCGGTTACTGGCTAGCTGCAATATACTTGAAATTGCTAGCCTGGCTGTTGATGACCGGCAGCAGGCTTATGTCATAGTTGTAAGTACTACTTTAACTTCCCAATAATGTAGACACGCATGTAATTGCACCTTTGAATAAGTTTGTTTAAATAATGAATATTGATGTTATAGAGCATAAAGGAAACATGAGGTTATGTGAGAATGGCATGTGAGGGACATGGTGAGGGAGGTGATAAACAGGTGAAATGAGGTGAGAGAGGAAAATAGGTAGAAATTTGAGGGACAAAGGAGGTGGTTGAAGAAGGAAGGCAAGTGAAGAAGGAAGACAGTTAAAGGGGGTGAAAAGTGAGGGAGAGAGGAAAACAAGTGGGGGAGGAAAGCAGGTGAGGGTGGATGGCAGGAAAGGGAGGCATGTAATGGAGCCATTTGGAAGCAGCTGGTGATGGAGAAATAAAAGAAGGACTGTGGTAGGTTAGGGAGTGAGGAAGGTAGGACAGGAAGAACAGTAGAGGGAATAACTGTTTAAATAATCCATGGTATGATATATTTAGCACCAATTATATAATGTTTTTCTTTATTATATTATATAATTTCAATAAAAAAAATGTTTGTAAATTGTATAATACTCTCATATTCTAAGATATTTTTTTTTCAATTTTGTTACCAGAAATTTCAGGTAGAAGATAGTGAGAATCCATGGGTGTTGTACTTCACGAGTGCTGCTGAAAAGCAAAAGTTTGAACTCGCAGTAGGAGAAGCATGGCAGAAATTAAACCAGGTTTGTAATTTTAATCAATTAAATATAAGTATTTTATCAATCTGATTACTGAACTGTTTACATCACACCAAATTCTTTACACTAGCATTTAGAGCGAGGGCGTAAGACCGCTCTTTATTACGTTTTACCTCACACATTTGCATTTTTTCATTCGTCAGTAATTTTTTGTTTTACCTTTTTACCAGATGATATTTCAAAAAAGCAATTTGCTCAATATATTTCATTCATGGTATAAGAAAGTCTCACTTAATCATGTCTATTTCTGAGCATGCTCAGATCAGTTGTGTTACTTAACCAGTAAGTTGTCTTAAGGCACTACTTATTTATGATGGCTATGGAGGGCATTTGATTGGTTGACGAGTGCCTGGCTACAGTTTAAATACATTGTGATATATTGCTTACTCTCCTCCTGATCCTATCTTCTATCAAGTCATATCTACTTTCAGTCATAATTGAATTGTCCTATCTTTAACAAGATTATGAAGCTTAGCTAGATTAAGGGATCACAGTAAGGATTAAGTTTAGGATCCTAAATAAATGAGTAACCTTAAAAAGGTTTACTACAACTATCATTGCTTTTAACCTAAGTGAAAACAGAAGTCTCAGATTGTTAATGTAAGTCGTCCTTCCAAGCGAAAAATAACTTGCAGATTTAAACCAGCTTTAATGGGATTAGGATTATAAGGATTATTTGATTGTATCTGATACTAAAAACTGGTAAACATTACTATCATCACTTTTCATTTAAAGATATTCAGCATTAACTTTGTGTTCTCGTAAGTATGTGGTTTTGTCATTTCTTAAATACAGTTGATGACTCATCCAGATGCTTTTATCTCCCTGTCATTCTTTGGTTGAACCTCATTGCTTTCCTACCTCATAACTTCACAACAAAAAAATTTATTGTGTCACTGTTATATGGGCTTGCCATGCCAAAACCTGCATCAGTTTGGTTGAACCTCATTGCTTTCCTACCTCATAACTTCACAACAAAAAAATTTATTGTGTCACTGTTATATGGGCTTGCCATGCCAAAACCTGCATCAGTGATGCTGATGATGTATTCTCCACATTAGCTTTAAAATGATAGATCATTTACTGGAATTGATTTCACTATTGCCAAAGTTATGAGTAAAAGTAAATACAGCTTTATTATAATAAAGAATACAATACTGTCACATGCCAATTACTCAGTTTAACATTTAGTGACAGTACGCTAGTTTTGGGATGACGAGCCTCTGAATTAAAAATTTCATAATTTAGTACAATTGCGTTATAAATGTGAGACAGCAGCTTAGCTTCATTTGCTAAACAGGTAGTAGCAACTGTGTGTGCTGAACCATGAAGGTCCATAGGTAAACGTGGTTCCTTGGTTTAGTTCGTCACTGTTCGTTTTATGCTCAAGCTCGAAGGCTGATATTAAATCAAGCAGAGAAGCTAATTTGTGGAAGTAAGGCTGTGTTCACGCTATTATATTTTATGTGACAAATTTGTTATTTTCCCATTTATATGGGCAAAATTATGCCATATCACACCTATGGGCATATCAAAGTTTAATTATCAGATAAAAAGTTATAGTATGGACAGCGTAATCAAATAATGTATTACTCGCTGTCATGCTAGGCAGAGATCGCTCTAAAAATTATTTGCATGAATGAATTCATGTAGCTGTTTGCATCATGGGAGGATGCTAATGAAGCTGAATTTCTAATAACAATAAGAAAATAATAAATAAAAGTTACCTTTCAAATTCCAAGTTATTTGAATTTACTATAGTAGACAAATAATTTCAGTAAAGAATCAAATTTGTGGAAGTAAGGGATGGTGTAGTAAGAAGAAAAATTATTTAAATGTTATCTCACTTACTGCCTTGCTTAACAAAAATCGCATTTAGAATTATGTGCACGCAAGATATTCATGTTTGCACGCAATTCTGTTGTAACTGACCTGAGTTATGCGTGCATGAGTTTTGTTGCTGACGATGGGCATAACACGTTTGGGATTACTCTATGAAGTTTAATTTCTTTAATCTGAAACATATTTTTGCTCAGTGATGAGCTGATTGCAAGTATATATGAAAGTAATTATAAAAATACCTTAACTTGAATCATTACAGTAATTTTCTAAGGTGAATGTTTTATATATTCTTGATTTAGATTAACTGTTGCACATTATACTTATTGAGATAATTCTGTCTGCAAATCTTTCCATTCGTAACAAAACTATGTCTGGGATTTATTCAAATTAGCTTGATATCATGTGACTACATATGCAATCTTTTTATTTAGGTTTATTTCTGCTTCAAATTTTTGCGAATAGTACACAGAATCGATAAAAATACTAACAAATTTATGCGTAGTTTGATGCTTTTGAGAATAGTACTTAGCGTTGATGGAATGCGTTGCTAAAAGCTTGTTTCCATATTGGCAATACTAATCCTCTTAAACATCAATGCATATAATAATAGTAGCCAGTCATACCTATATAAAAGCCTGACCAAGCAGTGGTACTTTAATTCTTACGTGAATTACCTTATCCATTGATTTTAGAATATGCTTTTTCTGGATATCAAACATCATCAATCATTATATTGAATCAATAATTAGTAAATGATTCACGTAATCTTGTTTAATTTTATTGATGTGTATTTCAGTAGATAGGCTGAAATTGCCATTAAAAGTATAAGAAATCTAATTAAAGATTTGATTGTGATTAATATATAAAGGCACATGGGTCCAAAGGATCACCAACAACGAATATTCATCACTGCCTCGCATATAAGCATCAATTAGTCCTGTAATCTATTAAACACAACATGTCGCAAGTACATTTAGAGGAAGTAAATTGCTCGGTACACCTAGAGACAGTTCTACTCGTTCCCAAATTATGTTGCCAAGTTATATTCATACACAGATCTATGATATTCAAGGGACTGACAGCTTAACACCCCATCTGAGAGTATGAGGTAATTAAAGTAGAGTGTAATTGCCATTGAGAATATGTAGGCAATTTGGTAATTATGCTTGGCAGCCGTAAATATGCTACTAACAGTAATTAATATATTTGATTACAAACAAGAGTCAGTGTCGCAACACAGCTGAAGATGCCTTTTGTTAGTTGTTGCTGTCTGTTGCACTATCTTTGCATTTTTAATTGCTTCGTATCAGAAATATACTGCTATTTAAATCTACTGTGATCTACTTTTCTATTGACATTGGTATGCTTTGACAAAATCTATGAAAAAAACAGAAGATATATACCTTATGCAAAACTAATTATTCACCTAAAATTATTAATGGTTAAATATAGTAGGCATTTTGGTTCATTTACCCCATATTCCATCAATACATAATAACAACTGTTATAAAGTCAGTTGTGACGTAATCAGTGCGTGTGAGAAGGCAGTCATAGCATTACACATTGTTTAATACCTACTTATATTAAAACAAGAAACAACATGACCTGAACAAACTCAAAAATGTATTCTTGTAATAGTTCAGTCCTTTGTACAACAATTAACATCTACATATGCCTTCTATTCTAGTATAAAAACTAATTGATTACCAGGGGAGTGGGGATCATATATCAATCGAAGCCCTATGTAATCTGAATGGGGAGGACCTTTCCTATTGTTTCTTTTAAATATTCTGTTAAATTACAGTTTCTTCATATTTTGTTTTTTAACCGAAACAATTGTGAAGTTTTTGGAATCACTATATTTTTTCCATACGAGTCCAATCCTATTGTTAGTGACAAATAACTTCAGAAATGAAATATTTCCAAGATTGCAACGTTTCATTAAAATGTCAGACTTCCCAAATACCAAAGGAAAGTCTGATTGATGAGTTTCTTCACGTTTGACATTAACAGTCTGCCAACAAACCAACAAATATTGGAAAATAATTTACCAGGTCATACCCTGAAAGTTTTGTATTTTTATGAATGTATGTGTTACAATTTTAAGTATAAAAGAATATTTTCTTTGTATAAAAGTCATATTTTTATCAACATGTTTACAAGGGATATTTTTCACAAACACTCTACTTGTTTTATCATCATCTAGTGGCTGCACCAGAGAGTCCCAGACAAGTTGTCCAAGGTGTTTGAAAGGGTGCAAATATCACTGTCAGCATCCACACCCAGTGTTCTCCCCAGGCCCTTGAAGCATCATGGTACCATGATGCTTTGGACTTTCCCCATGATGCTTGGAACATCTTCTATGATGCTTTTATCAGGAAACAGTTAAATTATTTAACTATTCTCTGCTTCTGTATAATCTTAAAGTGCAATTTAGGACATTTCAATGCCTTCTAATTATTAAAAATACCTTGTGTCAGACCCAACTATGGTGGATGTAACACTTACCACGATGCTTGCCCATGATGCTAGGGAGAACTCTGTTCCACACCTACCTCCAGTCCCCACCATGTTCAGAGCAAATTTTAAGAATATGTACCTAGATGGCACTCTCTGCTTTTTCAAAGCAGTGCTCCCTGATGAAATGCTTAGCCTCTTCCCTGACTGGGACCCTAGCCTGTAGAAATTGCATTCGAGGATGTTAATTTATACTTGTTTTATAGTATAAATGAAGGTTTATACAACACAATATTTCCGAAATCAATTTAATTTAGAAGTTGTTTTTTTTTCACAAATAAATGTGCATACTCACTTTATATAGATAAATGTTTTCATTGTCCTTCATGACCTAATCGATGCAACAGCATATTAATTAACAACTAAATGGTGTTTTTTCAAACACATGTTTTAAACATTTAATTTTTAAAGCATCACTGCAGTTTTAAATTAGTGTCTTCATAATACAGATGTAGTTTTTTTCTAATATACTGAGTGAGCTGATGAGTGCAAAAGCTTTATGAATATTAATATTGTGTTATATTATTGTTGTGTTTAATGAATATTTATTCATAAAAAAATTATAGTAAAGTACTTCAATTTGAAAGGGATATTTTAACAATTACATTGTTATACACACACAACAGGTAATTGGGTGTTTTTCTAATATGTGATTTTATTTACAGCAGTGTATTGATGAATATCAATTTTAAATTTAATTGGTATTATCATGAATATATTTGTGGGTATGAACAACTTTTAATTTGAATTCTTTTCAGGCAAACATGTTTATACTCACAAATACAGATGATTGGTTCCCTTTTCTCAGGAGCAAACTCGATCATTATTGTAACATCCATTAGTGCCCAGTCAACATACATGCATGCAATCAATCAACTGAACCCTAGACCTAAACTTTTGAAACAAATAGTACATCTGATCAAAACAAAATGATTAAAATTTCACAGGTTTAATTTAAAATTCAAGATTCATGTTGTCTATTTGGAGGTTCTAGGCGAAACATTTTGATTTAACTTTTTAGGGGTTTATTTGAAAAAATTTTACTACAAATGGTAAATGTCTCCAGGATCAGTGGTTCTTAGCTTTCATTAGATACGTTAGGTATTTATTCTATTGCTATTGTTTTGTTTCTGAATTTCATCTTTTGAACTTTATCTCCGCTTATGAGATCGCTTCATCATGCAATTTTGAAATACCACTGGTTATTATTAGAAAGACATTGAAGCTATAATGAATCCAATGATGACTTTGTTGATGAATTATCCTCTGAAGTCTCTGAATGAATGAAATTGGACAACTCTGGCATTTAAAGTTTACTTAATTTATTCTTATGGTGTATACAATTTTAATACTAGCTTTGGAAATATCGTTTCTTGGTTTTGATAATGAATTTAATCCTTTTCCTATTTATTTGTTGTATAAATTTTTTTTAAATGTTTTTTTTTTTTAAGTTTATTTTATTTTTATGTATTAGATGAAATAAAATGAGTAAAGTCGCCTTCTTCATATTTTTGTTTCTAGAAACTTATTTATTTAATTAAAAAATAGATAGCTTTTTCTGAATAATTTAAAAATACCTATTTACCTTTAAATTTCAAAAGAAATCATTGAATACTCAGGCATGCATCAGTGGATTAATAATGGAATGAAACAAGAAAAGTTTGAGGAAATAGAAAGAAGAAAAAGATAGATTTGTTATTGAATGAATGGATCAGGATAGTGTAAGATTAGAGTAATTGGATTGGTTTGAGAAAAATGATGATCAGCTTATAGTCGTCTGAATGTTTGACAGCGATAGTGTAACTAATTCATATTAAATATTCTCCTGCTTACAGGATGTCTTGCCAATCTTGCCAGTCAGTGACGAAAAGCTTAAGCAACGATGCCAAGAATGTTTTATATTGATTCAGTCATCATGGCAACGAAGTGATAGTCTGCTGAGGGGAAGGATTGGCGGCAATATCTGGTGAAACAAGAAGAAATGTGAGTTTTGATTGACATTATTCATTGCATTTTTTCACATCTTGTAATTATTTATTAGTTAATTATTATCATCAAGTATTCACTATGTAGCCCACCAGTTGATTAATTTTCTGTTTTTGCTATTTGACATTCCAAAGTGTCAATCAAATTTAACACCAATTGATTGACCAATTAGAACAGACCTAGGAATATGCCCGTCTCACAAACCCAAGAAATTGTTCCTGCATTTCTGACCCCTGACCTATCCTGTCATTTATATTTTTTACACTGTTTATTGCATAAGCCCCTTTGTCTCATTTTAATGCTTGAATAAATTAGCTTACTTTGTCTATCCATACTGTTTATGTTTAGCTTTACATTCACCTGAAGAAGTGCACTGTGTGCACAATAGCTAGTGTACTGTCAAATAAACTAGTCTTTATTAAAGTACTAAATGTTTTTTGAGTTTTAATTTTTTATATATTATACGCTGTTGTTGGTTTGTGGGACCTCAGCAATAATATCAAAAGGGAATGGCCTAGTGAAGCTGTACGTTACACAATAGAACACTGCTCTTATCCAAGGGTGTGTTTCTGCTGAATAACACCAAAAACACATGTTTTTTATAAACTGTTAAATTCCTTCTGAGCTTAAATGACGGTCACCAACGGAAGTTGAAGCTGCCCTTACTTCTTTTGCGAGCTACAGCGCATGCTGCGAAAGAAGTAAACAACACACCGCAAAAGTATGAAAAAGTATGGTATGATCTTCAAGCATGTCATCTTATTGGTTTAATTTGTTTTTTTCGGCCCGAAAGAGGTTAATTTGGGTCACCAACGGGTCATTACTAACACGGTTTTGCGTTGCAGCTGAAAAGTGTACCACAAAACACGTGTTTTCTGAACCCGTACCCTATAATGAATGAGTGTAAAAACACACATTTTTAGAACGCATTCCTAACCGTGTTTTTGTTTTGTTCCCCGTTTCTACTGGGGAAAAAACACATGTTTCTTAATAACCGTTTAAAAACGTTTTTTTGCTCAGCAGAAACAGGCCCCAAGTCTCTTTGCAAGGTTTATAGAGTACAGTAGATCTGTTTTTCAGTCATGCAAAAAAAAAATCTTTTTTAGTCATGAAAAAAAAAATCTGACTAGAGAAGTAAGTATCTTAACCACCAAGCTACAGTTCCACTATTATTACCTTCCATTCTCGCTGTTGAGATCTAAAATTAAACACAAGATAAAATGAATCATAAAATATTATTACCTGCCTTTAGCTACTCATGGACACTGCTTGCTCATTAAACACAATCTGATATATTTTCATGTTCAAATATATTTTCATTTCTCTCAATTTTGAAGTGATAGCATTTCTCAGTGTGGAATATTAAAGACAATTTGCAAAGCAAAACTTTGATTGCTTTTCTTGTAATTTTGTATAGGGAAGCTATTATGAATGGTTCATGTTTTATAAATGAGTATTAAATTTTAATTTCTCAGTTACAAGCTGAATTTGAGATAATTTTGGATGATCATCACAATCATATATGTACTCTAATTCTAACCAATCATATTTCATTTCAGCAAGACCATTAAAGATAAAACTATGTCCTAAGTGAAATAGATCCACAAAAATATAATTTTTCCCAATTGATATTTATTGCAGAGACTCTTCTATGTATAGCCTTCCAGATGCTCTGAAAAACAATAGTAAATTGATGCAATTGATATTGTGTTGGAAAAACATTTAATAATTCCAAAGCGATCCTTACATTAAGATGGTGAATACAAAACTCAGGAAAGTAAAAAATCAGCGAAGATAAAACAAACAAAAAAACGGCAAAGACAAATAAATTGGATCATTGCAATAGTAGTGTTCTAGTGAAGCTTGGTGGTTAAGGTACTCACCTTACAATTCTAGGGTCCTGAATCCAAATCCTGTAAAAGACCAGGATATTTTCTCACTACAAATCATTCAAAACCTGAAGTTTTCTCCACACTATCAAGTTTCAACGAGAGCTTCTAGAAATATATGAGTTGCAATGTGATAAAGTACGGCAAGTAAGTGTAAGAATATAGTGAACATGTGCAGAGGGAATGTGAATGAACAAACACATTTACAAATTATAAAATACAAGAGGCTACAATGCAACAGTAAGTGAATGCTGGAGCTTTGAATGTGTATGATTATTCTACAGTGATAATAAAATATAAACAGATGTAACAACTAAAGATCTACTAAATTTAAAGCCTTTTAGTTGATATAACTCCATGTTAAGGTCATTCATTTGTCTAATTTTCACATTTATTTGATTAAAGTGCTATATAAATATAACATATTATTATTAATTCACTGAATGCTGCTCTTAAATGACCTTTCATTACACAGTTCATGCAGTGTTAAGAGACCACTGTTGTGAGCTTCTCGCGTTTAGATCCTCAGTTAACGTATAAATATTTTGCCGGATTCTATGTTCTTCCAAGTAATGAGTCCTCAAAGTGTCAAGCACATAAATCGTAGTCATTTGGAAATGCAGCTTTAATATGCTGCAAACCTCTTCTATCCAATGTTTTTTCTTTTGATGTTATTATCAGAGTTTCACAATGGACAATTTCAAGAGAAAATTTGAAACTTTGCTCATTGAACTTTTTCAATGCTGTAGATTTATAGCACTAAACAAATAACGCTGATAAATGGATCACCACCATAACAATTATCTTTTTCTAACTGTAGTTGGAAGAAGGTTGGTCTTTTATTGTTTCCAAGAATTGAATAAAGGATACAAAAGGCATTATTTGTTGGAAATGGCTATACTTCCATCATGCCGTATTGCATTAAAATTTTAGACATTGTTGCTGATAGTAATAATATGCCCTTCCAACCACAAAGGATTGTCAGGGGGAACTTTTGTAGTTGAAATACAAATTGAGGCAGCAGAAGTAAAGGAATCATAAAGAGACACTAATATTTGTTTTCACTTTAGCCTAAAAAACACATTGATGGATCATTGCAATAGTAGAATTCAAGTGAGGCTTGGTGGTTAAGGTGTTTGCCTTCTAATTCTAGGGTTCTAAATCCTGTAAAAGACTAGGACATTTTCTCGCTAAAAATCAATCAAAAGCCTAAAGTTTTATCCATACTAACAAGTTTTGTGAGATAAATACACCCATATATGGAAGTAATACACCTATATATGGATGTAATACACCTATATATGGATGTAATACACCCATATATGGATGTAATACACCTATATATGGATGTAATATGACATCATCACGTCAATATATGAGGCTTGCATTCTCAAAACTAGACTTGCCACAAGTCTCTAATTTATTGATTTTTCGTAATATTAGCACACTTCGGAAAGCGCCACCAGCGTCAGTATACTATGGAACGCCATGCAAATAAGCAAAAATCGATTTATTTTTAAGCATTTTCAAAACCAGTGTACTGTCGACCGCTAATTGTTTAAAAGATTGCGGCAGTATTGTAATACTTTAGCATAGAGAAAAGCTGAAATACTTATTACTCATAACTTTGACAGTAGTAAGTCAATACCAGTAAATAACCTATCATTCTTATACAGTACTGTGGAGAATATGAATATATTAAAAATGGGATGATGCTCCATATGGGCAACACTTGTAGTTATTTGTGTGTGTATTTTTGTTGTTGGATGTGAAAAAAAACAACATAAAATGTGTCTTTTGTCTTTTTAGCTTATTGACCTGTTCTTTTTTTTATCAGATTTTGGTGCAAGAAAAGCTACTACACAGTAACCCAGGAGTTATTGCCACCTGTTCATCTATGACATCCGAACCATAACACAAATAGGGATATAGTTAATATAATTATTTTCGTCATATAAATCTGTAAATTCTTATGTAAACCTTGTTTTATTTATTTGGAAACCAAAAATGTTGCTTTTTAAGTTGTGCCGAGTTGTGCTAAGTTGTGCTTAATGTGGTCTATTGAAAGTGGTTACGGCTAAGTATTAAAATATGGCATTGGCTACAATCTTCAATTTCAATAAATGGCAAACTTCAAGTATGTGGAGTGTCTCTTTGACTAGGAAATTATTTGGAGGCAAATGAGTAGTGTTCTTTGATCTTTCAATTTAATATTAATGGACATTTGTTTTAATTATTATTGTCAATATATAGTAAAATATTTTTGAAAATTTTTTAGAAGTTAAGCTAATTTGTAGTTTGAACTGTGCATACCTGTATCCAAGGTCAGTCAACATAAACTTATGTTGTGATGGGCATGTGGAGTTTTAACTACGAATTGGGTCAATATTCAGGTCATCACAATTCATTGCATCTACCCAATCAACTTTAAGATTTGATTTAAAAAAGTCATGCATGCATTTGTATACATTTAGTACAGCACATCAATGCAAGTTTATTTTATTTATAAATTTGTTGAGCTTTCTAATTTATTGTTTGTAACATTGCTATGGTGGTTGTTACATTTGTTGTTATTGCAATACAATATTAAGGATTAATGTTATTAGGGAATATTTTTTTATTATTATTATTAGTATTAATTATTATTATTATTATTATTATTATTATTATTATTTCTATTATAATTAATACTGTACAATAGCATGACTGATACAATGATTAAAATTAAGTTACCCAAAATCCACATCACCATCCCACATATTCTGTTCTAAGGGTCATAACCTTTTAGATCATGGCATATGTCCATTAGCAGACAGACAATATTGAGAATTAACCATCAGAGAGTGGAAAGCTATTACCATAGCAATAACTATTTTGCCATTGTGATGTTCAAGCGCTATTGTCCCCTTGGCGATGCTGGGATGAATGTAACAGAGATCTTCACTTAAGCTACGCTGGGCATTTTTTTTCAATTTAATTTGTTGCCACTGCTGTGAACCTTATGGCAGAGAAAGAGATCAGGGATGAGCTCACAAGGTCATAAACTTATTTTGGGTATAAGTTTGGTTCAACAACATTTTCAATTGACCTTTGACCTACAGCATTATAAATGCATGAATTATAGAGAAATACATTATGTTGTAATCATGTCATTAGAATATTTCTCCATGTTCAGTATGTTGTTCTGATGCGTAAAAGTGTTAGTCTTATTCAATGTGTTAGGAGAAAGGAATTATGAAATGACACAGTATTATGATTTTGATCATGTTTTAATACAGATGTTATTGCAATTATGTTGAATATGCAGTAGTTCATTATGTAAGTAATGCATGTTTTTAATTCAAGTTCATTATAGTCAGTCACATTATATGTGTAGATTATTTAAAACATTTTTGCTATATCACTCAAGTATGCATGAGGTTACATTAATACTACTAAACCATAGTCTACATTGGACCTACCATAGGGGTACTATGGTGAACTATAATACCTCCATAAACCTATACATGGTTAATACACCATCCCCAACCCTCCCACATGAATTCAGTCTCTCTCTATCACTCTTTCTATGAATTTTTTTTTTTTTAATGAATTTGATGCACTCTGGGTCAGATTCCCATAACCTGGGGCAGAAATCCCAAGTAAATTCATCCCCAGGAGGTCAAATTCAGTTTCAGCTAGCCTGGAGTGCAAACTTCCAACATGGATGGCTAAATTCACTAAGGATTTAGGCTGAGGGGATTAAATTCAAGAGTGATGGGTAATAAATCCATGTGACACCAGTATGGTTCATTTCCAAAAAAACATCCAGGCAATACCTGTCATTTGAAGACTCGTTGCAATGGCTTTACATAAAAAGGTGTGTGATAGTAATGTTCTGTAGAGGCATGCAGAAAAAAATACAGTAGTTGGATAAAGACTATTAACTTCGTCAGACCCATTTCACCTTCACAAACATGATCTATTATTTTTTCCCTATTTTTCTGTGACTGTTGTAATGTGGTGGTATGTTACAGTATGTAAATTTACAAGTACCATCACCTGGTTGGCTGTTCCTGCATCCAGTTCCTGTATAACTACATATATCTTTTTTAAGAACTTGTTTATTCACCACCTGTATGATTATTTTTTTCTAATGTTCGTGCCACCTGCAATTAATAAATTTGATTTGTGCTTGTTGAGCAATTTAATGAATATAAAACTACACCTGGATATCGGATATGACATCAGAAATGAATAAAAGTTTATTCATATATACAGTGTAATCGTATCATATTTCTACTGCGTATGCCTTTAAAACATGAATGTTGTTGACCCGCGTTAAAAGCATCGTGGGTAATTTCTTTGCCATTATATGACACAAAAATACTCCGTAAAATTTGCGAATCACCATGAAATTATCAGATTTGATTATAAGTTCATTTGAGATCGTGTTGCAACTGATTTTTGCTTCCAGCTAATTATGATTAATGGCTTTGCGTGTCGCACGTCACGTGCTAGCCCCAGGGAAAGTTATAACAGCAGTTTGAAACCGAACACGATGCAATGAGTCGTATCCACGTGGATTTTATTGCGCATGTCGCTCCAACTGAGAGCTATGGTTTGTTGGGTAAGATGCTCGCTTTCAAACGCCAAGGTCCCTGGTTCTATCCTAATGGCATATAGGCCATTTCCTGATTTTTCTCAACCAGCAAACTCTTTAAACAAGAAAACTACGTTTTTACTTCTTGATTCCTCACCGCTCTGTGTTGTTTTTACATTTAAGGATGACGGTGGATGATGACGATGACAGTCCTAGAGGGATTAGCATTGTAATGAGTTGGCGTTTTTTTCCCCTACTTTTAAAAATACGTAGGAGGCCTATACAGTACATCCTTAGCTCGCCATTTTTAATTGATTGTGGTTAATTTACGCACACGCTGACGTGTGTATTACTACGCCAACTTCAGTACCGGTACTAACTGAACTCAGATGTAATTATCTTCAATTATTAAGTTTCTGAGGTTTATTCAAATGTTTGTTTCGTACTTGCGTTTCCATCGACAGGTTGTTGACATAATATTCTATATATTGTTTTCATTATCACTATTGCATGCTTACTTATCATTGAGCTTGCAGCTATTCACTATTCGTCAAATATTTCGAGGTAATTTCCTTGTGTGCCATCAAACAATACGAGTCTATGCTTGTTACTGTGATTATCTGGAATGGTTGTAGTGACCAAAGATTGCTGCGTATGAAATAAATCCTAAGTAAGTAGGATATCTTTCGCTAAGTTGTCGGTAGCATTGAAGTACAGTAATGACGTCAGAAGTTACGTTTACGGTTATGTCATTCAATGTGGGGTGGGTATAGGGGTGACAAAAGAGGCGTTCGCCAAATAGCCAAGACAAAAATACCAAGTGTGTAATGTAATCACGTGCATGACTAAATCTCCGAAGCTTCCAGTAGGAAGGTGTTGACCCCATGTAGGGGAACACCCCAACACCTTCTATCGACCATAGTTCTGCCCTATCAGACCATGATTGGTCATCGATTGCCACTCGTGCGCGACACACACACACACACACGCATATATATATATATACTGTCTCTTATACACATCTAGATGTGTATAAGAGACAGGTGCTAAGTTGTGCTTAATGTGGTCTATTGAAAGTGGTTACGGCTAAGTATTAAAATATGGCATTGGCTACAATCTTCAATTTCAATAAATGGCAAACTTCAAGTATGTGGAGTGTCTCTTTGACTAGGAAATTATTTGGAGGCAAATGAGTAGTGTTCTTTGATCTTTCAATTTAATATTAATGGACATTTGTTTTAATTATTATTGTCAATATATAGTAAAATATTTTTGAAAATTTTTTAGAAGTTAAGCTAATTTGTAGTTTGAACTGTGCATACCTGTATCCAAGGTCAGTCAACATAAACTTATGTTGTGATGGGCATGTGGAGTTTTTGTGCAGATCTCTCATTCGTTCGTATCTGTTTGCCAGAGCGAAATCGTAACCAGTTGAAGCCATCACTTTGCTTACAGGCTTTTTCTTTTTTTAGTCTGTGATTTCGCACGCATGCGTTGTTTGGGCTCATTTATATTTGAACGACCCTTTTTTCCACTTTCCCCCCTTGTTTTGAATTTTCAAAATGTTGTATCTCATTAACCTTAGCCGAGTGTCTTATAAAAATCAGTTGTACAACATATCAAAGCCTGGCTTTAAAGAAGTGAAATCTGCGAATGTTAAACAAGTTGCTCCAACTGGGATTCGAACCCAGAACCTTTTGCTTTTTATCTTTACCACCTGATCCACTGAGGCTTCGTTAGATTTTGAAATCCGATTAAAATCAACTGATTTTTCACATTCCTGCACAAGCAAGGAACCACGCTAATTCCCTATCATCCCTTAGAAGCAGAGTTTACATCGAATTCCCAATGATATTTAATTTGTGGAAATATTTCTGAAATCAATAAAGCACTATATTTAGTAGATAGTACGTGTCTTTTGGGATATGCTTACGCGTGCGCATTTAAGAACTTAAGCAACCTCTCGGGTAAATCAGAAATTTGTTTATTCAATCGATATTGGCAATAAACCTACTGCATAAAAAAAAATAAGATTTGTATTCTTCTATATTTTCATTGGCCTCTTCGAGAAAATACTCCAGACTTCCACTATTGAGTACAGTCGTTCGCCAATAAATGGATATTGTTATCAGCATCAAGAGAATGCTCTCCATAGTCTCCAGTCAACCTAGTAAAAGAAGAGCTATAAATGCGTGATAGACCTTGTTAAAGGTCTAAATCCTCATAATTTTTCTCCAGATTGTCCAATCGTCTAAATTAAATATTCAGGAATACGCGCATGTTCTAGTAACGTACCGGTACTGTTCCCAAACCTTAGAACAATATAATTGGGCGGGGCCTAATTCCTCTATGGTCCACCGAAATACTTTTGTTTGGCGTCATAACAAAAAGTGTCTTTGACGTAATGGAAGTTTCATATTTTTGTAATAAATAGCGCGTCAATAATGGTTGTCACATGATGCAATATATAAATTAACATATTGGGTATAAACATAGCCGCTACATTATGTTGAGCATGTGGTTATAACTTATTATGGTAATACTAAATCGAGGTCATTTCTAGGTTTACGCCTCGAAAAAATCAATGCAGTACTGTGCTGAGTATAATTGACTGAACAAAAAACTCATCTCGAACGTCAGAGTAAAAGTAATAACATTTCTATGCTCTTATAAACAAAAGGTCCAGAGTTATTCTGGTTGGTTCAGTTCAATAATAAAAACTGGCTCTCATTATGAGTGTATTTTACTTTAAAATGTGACTACATTGGATATATGCGCATATATTTTCTCTGAAGACACAGGGTCGTTGCTGTCATGAGGTCCCTCTCGTCGCTACCCAAACTTGATGAATGCCCAGCAGAGCGATGCCCATTGAGGCTAACAATACTATTTTAAGGTTTGCGTTTTACGTTTAAAATCATCATATCACGAAGATTAGATAAAGTGATCGCCACTGAACATCAACTAGGCTTCTCAAACTACTAATAGATGTCTACAGTATATGTTCCTATCATTCCTGATGATGACAAAAATAATAATCCCGACACGATGACGTGCATTTCGATACTTGGAGTATGTATTATACTATCATGTATATTATGTACATTTCGTAATTAGAGTATTAGCACTACTGCATTAAGCTGGTTTTCCACTAGACGAATTTATTCGCGCGAATCAAGGCGTCGGTTCGCTTAAAGAGCTCTGATTGGTTGCGCATTTTTTCGCTTCGCAAAATGTCCGATAGGGATGTGAATGCGCATGCGCATGAACCGACGCTTTCGATTCGCGCGAATAAATTCCCAATAAAATCCTAACCACCGTCTTAACATCATTACTATCCTGACGAAAAATCCGGTGTTTTACATTCTTCACCTATTGGCAGTGCAAGCAACGCTGAGAAACTAAAATCTTGAAATGACTAAAGCCGGTTTTCCACTAGGCGAATTTATTCGCGCGAATCGAAAGCGTCGTTCATGCGCAGCATGCGCAGTCACATTTCTACCGGATTTTTCGCTACAGCGAAATTGGTAGTTCGAACTGTTTCTACTCTTTGCGAAACGAAAAATGTGCGCAACCAATCAGAACTCAGGAACCGAACCGACGCCTTCGATTCGCGCGAATAAATTCGCCTAGTGGAAAACCGGCTTATTCCACTAGACGTATTTATTCGCGCGAATCGAAAATTTTCGCCTATACGCATGAACTGTTTAATTTTTATCACGAGATTCTCAAATGCGCGTGCGTACGGGTACAAATTTTCGATTTGCGCGAATAAATTCGCCTAGTGGAAAACGGCCTTTAATGCTCCACTCATGCGACAGTCTGGGCTTTAGTTAAATTGGAAACGTTTTTCATAATTAAGCCGATTTAAAAATGTCTTTAACATTTTCGGAAATAGTAAAATTTTCAATTATTTGTATGTCAGTGTTTTGGGCACCAAATTGTTGATATGTTTTGTCACACTAAAACCAAGAGTAAATATATACCACTATTCGTCAATTTAACTTTACCTCTCATTAATTACCGTATTAGATACTGATTCGCGTCTTTTCTAATTACTCACATCAGTATCTTCTCTAAACATTTGAAGGCTTGAGTGTAACGCGGCATGCATTGTGCGTCGATAAATAGTATTTATTCATTCGTCAATGCGTAAACACCATGCGTCTGAATTCTGACAGACGATATAACCAGTAACAACAGTTCTAGTAACTATCATTAACAGAAATGCACTTTTTAAAACCATTTGTGAAAATAGGACAGCTATTTATCGACACATGCTTTTATAAAAGAACTATGCAAAGTTATTTCCAAATTAAAAGATGTAGAAGTTCACCGAAATTAGCGCAAGGTTCAAAACATAGGGCTTATTCGACTGGTTCATTTCGTTGAGTACGAATTTTCGTTGAGTATTATGTTCATTCGGCTGGTTCGTAAAATAGACTTCGTTGACAACGAAAATTAACGTAACCAGAATGCATTAATCAGCGTTAAGTTATGCACGTGAACACAAAAAATATGGCCGATTGGTCAGTTTAGCAACAACATTTGCGTTAATATAATTTAGATTAAATTTCAGAAAATAAAAATTACAATATTTACCCACATTGAAGTCAAAAAATAATTGTAGGCCAACAGAATTCAAATACTGTATGAAAACATTTTTTTTACGA